TGAATGTTTAGTCACTGAAAATCTTTTGATAGCAGTGGAACACAGTCAGATAGCACCAGAATATTGCATATTGAAACATTATGAATAGCACCATAATATTGTCAGATGTAATGCCAGAAGATGAGCCCCTCAGGCTGGAAGGCACTGAAATATGACTGGGGAAGAGCTGTCTCCTCAAAGTAGAGTTGACCATGATGATACAAATGTGGCATAACTCAAAATGTGGACAAACAGCTGTAAACATCCATTAATCATCGCAACATGGAGTTTATAAAGTATAAATCTAGGAAACTTAGAAGTTGTCAAAAATGAAATGGAACACAGAAAGATGGATATCTAGATATTAGTGAGCTGAAATGGACTGGTGATGGTCATTCTGAATCTGACATTGCTGGGAATGACAAATTGAAGAGGCATGGTGGTGTATTCAACAAAAATAACATTTAAAGATCTTGAAGTTGAATGCTGTCTGTGATAGGTTTAATATCCATTTGCCTAAAAGGAAGACCAGTTAATAATACCACTACTACTCAAATGTACACACTGACCACCAGAGTCAGTGATGATGACATTGAAGAATTCTACCAACTTCTTCAGGGAGTGCAGTGTTTTCATATGATAAGTGAATAACAATGTCCCCAGTTATAACTCTCTAGTCTTTTTGTGGGAAAGAAATGGAGCTTTCCTGCAAAGATTTATAAACCTTGGAAACCCTATTTAGGGTCGTCGCTATAAGTCATAATCAACTTGACAGTACTTAACAATAACAACAGCCAACTTCTTCATTCTGAAATTGGTTAAACATGCAATCAAGATGTATTGATTATTACAGGTGATTGGAATGCAAAGGTTGGAACCACACAGGAAAGATCAGTAGTTGAAAAATATGACCTTCATTGAAAAATAGTATCATTTCTTGGTGATAGAAATGATACTAGAGACTGCATGATAGAATTTTTCAAGACTAACGACTTATTCATTGCAAATACCTTTTTAAAACAACATAAGAGATGACTATACACATAGACCTCAACAGATTGAATACACAGAAATTGAGTATATTTGTGGGAAGAGATAGTGCAAAAGCTCCATATCACCAGGCCAAACAAGAATACGGACATACTGTGGAACAGACCATCAATTGCTCATTTGCAAATTCAGACTGAAACTGAAGAAAATGAAAACAAATTCATGAGAGTCAAAATATGACCCTGAACATATCCCATCTTGAATGTCAAGGCCATCTCAAGAACAGATTTGATGAGAACACTAATGACCGAAGACTAAAGACATCAAGAAGAACATCATACAAGAAGAAAGCAAAAGAAGACAATGAAGAAAGAAAAGACCAAAATGGATGTCAGAAGAGACTCTGAAACTTGCTCTCCAGTGTAGAGATGCTAAAACAAATGGAAGAAATAAGGAGATAAAAGAGCTGAACAGATCATTTCAAAGGACAGCTTGAGAAGACAGAATCAAGTATTATAATGTAATGTGCAAAGACCAGGAGTTAAAAAACCAAAAGGGAAGAACATGCTCAGCATTTCTCAAGCTGAAAAGAACTGAACAAAAAAATTTAGATCTTGGGTAGCAATACTGAAAGATTCTATGGGCAAAATACTAAATGGTGCAGAAAGCATCAAAAGAAGATGGTAGGAATACACAGAATCACTAGACCAAAAGAAATGATTGATATTCAACCATTTTGAGAGGTAATTATCAAGAGTCAGTGATACTGAAAGAAGAAGTCCTTTCTTCTGAAGACATTGGCAAAGAACTAGGCTCTGAGAATTGATGGAATACAAATTTAAATTTTTCAACAAACTGATGTAGTACTAGAGACACTTATCTATGCCAAGAAATTTGGAAGACAGTTTTATCTGGCCAATTAATTGATTGGAAGAGATTCATATTTGTGCCCATTCCAAAGAGAAGTGACCCAATGGAATTCAGAAATCATTGGACAATATCATTAATATCACATGCAAGTCAAGTTTTGCTAAATATAATTTAAACCGCTGTAACAGTCCATAGACAGGAAACTCCAGAAGTTCACATCAGATTCAGACAAGGATATGGATTGAGGGACATCATTGCTGATGCCAGATTGATCTTTGCTGAAAGAAGAGAATACCAGAAACATGTTATCTGTGCTTTATTGACTGCGCAAAGGCTTTTGACTGTGAATCATGACAAGCTATAATGAGTATTCCAGGACCTTTAATTGTGCTCATGAAGAACCTGTAAATAGACCAAAAGGTGGTCTTTAGAACAGAACAAGATTTTAAAACTGTTGTTTTAAAATCAGGAAATTGTGTGCTAGGGTTATATTCTTTAACAATACTTTTTCAATCTATATGTTGAGCAAATAGTCTGAGAAGTTATATTATATGAAGAAGAATGTGGCATCATGATTGGGGAAAGAATCTTTAGCAACTTGCTATATGTAGATGATACAACTTTGCTTACTGCAAGTCAAGAGAACTTAAAATACTTAATGATGAAGATCAAAGAACACAGCCTTCAGTATGAGTTGCACCTCACTGCAAAGAAAACAAAAATCCTCACCACTGGATCAATAAATGACATCATGATAAATGGAGAAAATATTGAAGTTGTCAAACACTTCATTTTTCTTGGATCCACTATCAACACTCATGGAAGCAGCAGTCAAGAAGTGAAACAATGTATTGCATTAGGCAAATCTGCTGTACAAGACCTCTTTAAAGTGTTCAAGAGCAAAGTTGTCAGTTTGAGGACTAAGGTGCACCTCACACAAGCCTTGATATTTTCAGTCACCTCGTATGCATGTGAAAGTTGGACAATAAATAAGGAAGAATGTAGAATTGATGAATTAAGGTGTTGGAGAAGAATATTATAAGTATTGTGGGCTACCAGAGGAACAAACAAATCTGTGCTGGAAGATGTACACTCAAAATGCTCCTTGGGAGCTAGGATGGTGAGACTTCCTTTCTCATAATTTAGACATTTTATCAGGAGGGAGTAGTCCCTGCAGAAGGACATCATGCTTGATTAAGTGGATGGTCAATGAAAAAAACAAGACCTCACTGAGATGGATTGGCACAGTGGCAGCAGCAATACTTGGAACATATTATCAAGAGGGACCAGTCCCTGGAGAAGAACATCATGCTTGTAAAGTGGAGGGTAAGTGAAAAGAGGAAGACCCCCAATGAGATGGATTAGCACAGTACCAGCAACAGTGGGCTCAAGAGTAACAATGATTGTAAAAATGGCTCAGGACAGTCTTTCATTCTGTTGTGTATAGGGTTAGGTGGCAACTCAGTGGCACCTAACAACAACAAAAACAATAACAAAGCACTTTGAAAGTGGGAACCATGTTGAGCAAACTGTCTTTAACATGATGGATAGTACCACCATCTGTTAACTCAAATCATGGAGACCACGTGTGTAGAAATGGGATCCATATGGCTTTAAATGACTGATTGTTTAGATGCCGGTCTTTCCAGTCACCTCTGGGTGGACTTGAACCTTCAATCTTTCATTTGGCAGCTGAACATGTTAATGATTTTTACCACTCATGGACTCTACTTGATAGCTGTAAGTCACTTCCACTGTAATCAAATCAATTCCAACTAAGCAACCTGATAGTGTAGAGTAGAACTACCCTGTAGGGTTTCTAAGGTTGTAAATCTTTACAGAAGCATACTGCTGCATTTTTCTCTCACTGAGTGGCTGGTGGGGTCAAACTACTACTCTTTTGGCTAATAGCCAAGTACTTTAGCCACTGTGCTACCAGGAATTCTCAAGAAAAAGGTAAAGTAAAAGAAAAGTATATTAATCATGATATTCATTCATGCTGAACTTGACTGAGCCTCAGAATTCTTATTAACTCAGTACCATTGGCAAAAATTGCAAGTGGATTGGATTTGCCCATGAGATGAAATCTGTTATTTGTGGTGCACATTTACAGGAATCTCTACAGACCTCTTTGTTGTTGTTATTGTGTGGTGTTGAATTTGTTCCGACTCATAGCTACCCTTTATACAGTTTCTGAACAATGGTGGATTTAAACCAATGACCTTGCAGTTAGCAGTCAAATGCTTATCCTATGGCCCGCACCAGGATCTTTAGTTACTAATATTAACAATAGCAGGTGGTTGGCACCTTGCTTACTGAGCAGAGAAGAACAGACAACTAGGAAGAGGAAGGCAAGGAAAAAAGGGAAGACAAAGGATGTTGGGAGAGTCATGTTCAGCAGGAGATGAAGGTTGAAGGTGCATGGTCTTCAGAGTGTTCCTAGAATAACAGTATTGGAGTAAGACACCTCTCAAGTATCTAGGAGTCCTGGTATGGCACTGTGGGCTAATGCGTCAGACTGCAAAGTTGCTTGAACTGCAAAGATCGGTGGTTCAAGCTCACCATCTGCTCCTTGGAAAACCTATACAGGGTCGCTATGGGTCAGAATCAACTTGAAGGCATTTAACAACAACAAAAGTATCTAGTGGAGTCCTGGTGTGGCTCTGTGCGTTAATGCACTGGGCTGTAAAGTCGGTTTGAACTGCAAGGTTGGCAATTCAAGCTTACCACCTGCTCCTTGGAAACCCTATACAGGGTCACTATGGGTCAGAACTGACTCAATGGCACTTAACAACAACAAAGTGTCTGGTGTGGCACTGTGGGTTAATGTGCTGGACTGCAAAGTCAGTTTGAAGTGCAAGGTCAGTGTTTCAAGGTGACCAAGCCGATCCTCAGAAACCCTATACAGGGTTGCTATGGGTTGGAACCGAGTCACGGCACTTAACAACAACGAAAGTATCTATAGGAGTCCTGGTGTGGTGCTGTAGGATAAGTACTGGATTGCAAGGTCAGCAGTTCAAACCCACGAGTTGCTCCTCAGAAACCCAATACATATGAGTCAAAACTGGCTCCAAGGCACTTAACAGCAACAACAAAATACCTATGAAGAATGAAAGGACTCCTACTAATATTCTCATCTTTTCTCGCCCCTTTTGCTACAGGTTACGTTACAAAGGATACTTTGGGGGTGTTACTGCCCTAACCAGAGAACAATTTTTCAAGGTGAATGGATTCTCTAACAACTACTGGGGATGGGGAGGCGAAGACGATGACCTCAGACTCAGGTGAACAACAGAGAAAGGTCCCCTTCAGAGGGTTCTGCTCTCGTGGAAACCTCTGCTTATGTATAGTTCTTGTAGATGCCAGTTCAGCAGGTCATAAGGCTACAGATTTTCAAGGCTTAGAGTGTAGTATGAGGTGGAGGGAGGTCCACAGGGTCCAAGTTGCTGTTTGATAGTGGCAGCTTAGAAATGATGGAGGGTGCTCTGTTCCTGGTTTGTGAGTGTTTAGGGTCTAAAAGTGTTGATGCCTCTGTGGACTTGTCAGTGGATATTACTTGCCCAGACAAGGTCTCACCAGTGAATTAAATGACCCAGATTGCAGAAAGTCTGGAAAGCTGCATTTGGAGAAAAATGTCTGGAAGGACCTCTGGTAAGCCTATGCCTTCCCTGACACACATCGATGTCCAGAGCAGGGAGAGCCAACAGCTTCTTTAGGAGCAGCACACATGGAGCTGTCTGTACTTCCTTGTGCCTCAGCCAGCCCTGCATGCTGTGGGAGCCGCTGCTGGCCTGGCTCTCAGGCCCGATGGGCTACTGGCAGTACCTTCAGGTGCTTTTGTACTACTTTCTGCTCTTGGGGATTCAAAGAGAATCAATCAGTCTGGCCTCCTTATTCAGTTTCTTCCCCACTCCTGTCACTCCTAACTTGAATTTTGTAGCTGGACAGTTATGAATGTCCCTACCCTCCCAGAAAGAATTACTTAAGCATTTGGGGGCTACATCTTCAGATTTGTAATCATGGGATCTTGCTGATTGTTAGCTGACCACTTCCACACTTCCTTCCTGCTGTTACTTTTTAGAAAGGAAATCCCTAAACTGGGGCTCAGAATTAACAGAAAATTTCCATCACTTCAATGTAAAGAAACCAGAGCTGGTCTTGTTCCCATGTCTGGGCTGAGAGTTTCTGGAAATTTTTTTTTTTTAAGTTTTTATTGTGAATTATGTGTTAGTTTACATGGGTGAACATTATCTTTACATTCATCCTATCGTATATTGTTTCATTGCCATGATCATAATCCCCTGCATGCATCATCAAACACCCAAAGGGTATACTCCACACTCCTCCCCCCTGCCCCTGCTGCCAGCACTCAACCCCTCTCCTTCCCTGAGGCCTGAGTCCCCAGCTGCTCTTTCTGTCCACATCATCATCTCTGCTTCCATCCCTAGTGTCACTGCCTCTCTGGACCTGGCCTCACACTTTGGTTTTCTCCCTTGATGGTTCCAGGGATCTCTACTCCTAGACTGAAAAATCAGCCACTCCTCTCCTTTTGTTAACCAAACATTTACATTTACCTTTACAACACTCACTATCAGACCTGCTAGCAATCATTCCCTATTGAACCACAGGCGTCCTTTCCCCCCTCATCTTTTATTAACCCCATCCAAACAGGTTGGAAATTCAGTGGAGGTTCTACCTTTCCCTGTATCCTCTGGGGCTAGGTTCCCTGTTGAAAGCTTGTAAGCCAGTCACTTCTTGCCTTTGTAGTCCCCCATTTTGGGTAGCCAATGTCTAAGTTCCCCCTCCCTGTCAACCCTGTGTACCAAGGGGGTGGGAATAATCCTCACTGTAGAGATTTGTCTGCTCCTTTGTCATACTGCATCCACAAGCATAGGTAAAGATCATCCACTTTATAATGGCTTACTCCTTTGTTTTGGTGTGTGTTTTCTCCTCTTGTTTCTTCCTCTAGTCGTGTTCTGATCATCCAGCCATTGATGCCAGGTCAAATGGGTACTATCTATCTGCAAGTGTGGGTGTTCTTGTGCACCTCTCTTTATATCAACTGGATGCTTCAGACTTCCTTCTAGGCCTCTGGGGCCATGGCCCTACCCCTGGGCCCAGAAGTCCCCAGTTTTCATCATACTGCTGGTTAACCAGGTCTCAATCCAGGTTAACAGGGCTCTGTTGAAT